CACCTTTTAACATATAGCTTGATAAACGCGTTTCTTACGGCTACATTTCTCAGTGCACCGCGTTCCGTGATGACAGACAGGTGTCAAGATAGGCTTGGAGGAGAAATATCAATGAAAGAGTTAACAACAGATAGCAAAAACACTTTGACATGTCTATTTTTATTAGCAGAAAAACACTTCAAACTATAGATGAGGTGCTTTTGCAATTCAACTGCAGTCACTGGTCTTCTCTGACAGGAATAAAATACAAGATTTGGGTGTTGCTTTCTCTTGTTTTCTAAAAGAAAAGAATTTTCATCTATTATTACTTCTGATTAGTCATCCACCGCTTTGTGCTCTTCACAATAATTTTTTTGTTGGTAGGAACTTAGTCTAACAACAATATTTAGAACAGTTGCAGTTACTGCTTGTGCTTCAGCCTTTTCATTTGTACCAGAGATAAGCAGACTCCCTGACTAAAAACCTCGTGATTTAATATGGTGCTTTTAACAAAAGAACAAAATAAGAATGGAAAAAAGAAAATATCCAGTATGATCTCAGTGTAACAACACTTTTCATGGCATCAGGAGTTAAAAGCTTCATGGACAAGACTGCAGCATGATTATAAAAAGTAATGTCCTGTCCATCCTTTCATTCCATATCTCCATTTCCGGGCTTTGAAGACAAAGACATTTCCTTAAAGGAAGCTGCAGACAACCAAGAACCAGCTAAAAAGGAAACTGAGGAAGGAAGACTTCAGTGAAGAATTTATATGGTCCATTCTGGCTGTCTTGACTGTTGCTCAAAGTTCTCATTTTGCTTTAGCTGTTTTGACTCTTGATTGAACATATGAGGAGAAACCTGGGAGTATGAGACTGCCCGAAGATGATGTAGTTCCACAGCTGGGTAGTCAGTCAATAGACAAATTTTCCTATTAGGTTTTTGATTAGTCTTCAATCAGTTGGGTTCCCTGGTCTGGCTTAGAGTAAGATCACATTAACCACCAGCACCGACACAAGGCAGAGAGTGAGAAACGTGGGAGAACACGGAGATGGAGGGAGGTCAGAAGCATGACAGCAGCAACCTGAATTGGTTCAAACCCTTGTGTAGCTTTACTCGTGCAGTATTTTCACAAATACTTTAAACTAGCTTAGCTTTCCTTTCTCTCTTCCCATTTACAAGGTAAAAAATATGGTTAGTTTTCAACAAGACCAGTTTTCCAAGTCTGGAATGGTGTGATAACACTTTGCTGGCACAGAAGAGGAGATGACACAAGGTGGGAAGAAGAGGCTCCTGCTGACAGCAATGCTAGTTTAAATCGACCACAAAACTAGGATCATACAACAGTCGAAGACAAGAAAAAGCTTAGACTTCATTACTGCTTTTGCCATAAAAGGATCAGAGCATTACAAGCTGCTGAAGAACTGGAGACAGCGATAACGTAGTCACATTTCCTGGATTTATAGGAGTGATTTGGCACGGAGAGGTTCTGAATCACCAAATTCCTATTTCACTTTCTTTTTTCAGATTGCCAGAGGGGGATGTGTGTGTGTATATATATATATATGCCTATTTATCCACCTATTTAATAAATCTACCTCTTTATTTTTTATTACATTGTTTTAAAACCTAGATATTCCAGGGCAAGATCAGGAACCACTGTACTAGGCACTGTAAGCAATCCATGTTCCTCGCTTTAAATAACTCCTACTATATGTATTCGTATACTTGCTACAAGAAGTTCTCTTTTTCAGGTACATGATAAAATTTGAGAAATGAACTTTTCATTTAAACTCTACAAGACTCGTAGGATTGTCACCTTGAATAGAAATAAAAAATATTACAGAAGGTCTGTGCCATGTCTGATTTTACAACTGTGCAATCAGACTCCAGTCTTTATTAGAAGAGTACTTAAATTAGAATTTCTTTTGCCACATTTTCTGCTGTACTGCTGTTCATTGCCTACATGGAACCATATTTTTTTTTGTAATTAGCAATTAGGGAAAAAACCATATAAGCCAGAACATTAAAATAATAATAAAATTTTGGCAGTATCACTTAGAAATTTAGACTCTGACGCGCTATAAAGAAATTGTTTTTAAATTCAGATTATCTTTTAATTAATCTCCATATGCGAGAAACAAAAAATAGCTGTAGCTATGCAAATAAGAGTTCATTGCATGCAAATTGTTATCCCCTCACAGGGATCAATACAGTCAGTAATATAAACCCCTGAAATAGTACTGCTAAGCATCTGAAAAAACATGAGATGTTGCATTGTAATTGTAGTTATTTCTCATTTTTTAAATGTATTAACCTACCAGCACAACCTTACCTTAGCAGAGCAATTTAAAAAGGAGGAGAGGTCAGAGATAACACAAGGAGAGGAGGAAGAAGAAAATGTCAAGAGAAAGCAATATTTGAATGCAAACTACTGCAATTCTTTCCATAAAGGAATTACTGCACATTTCCGTGTGCCCAAGGTTGGTTGGTTGGGTTGTGAGTTTGTTTTCCCCCCTGCCCCACATTCTCTACATGCCATAAACATTTCCCATGTAAAATTAAGCTGTGTGATCTTATCCCAAGTGCACTGTACCACAGCAAAAAAAATGTACTCACCGGTATGAGGTTTCTGGAAGCAAATCATTGATAACGTAACTTGTAACATTTCCTACTGGAATGCTGATGTCACCCAGGTCAATGTTGTATGATGTAATCTCAGCTCCGTTATTGCATGGTTCTTCCCAGTTCAGTACAAGGCACACAGAGGGTGAGAGTTGACAGGCATCCACATGTTCATCCTCCAGCACGGAGAGGGTAGAGACTGCATCAGGCACGGATGCGGGGATTCTGCAGGTCACCAGCTCACTGTAGGGTCCAGCTCCTGCCTGGTTAATAGCCTGTGTGTTTAAAAAAAAAAAAAATTTACAGGGTAAATGTTCTATTTCACATCTATCAAGTTCATAACCATGAACTGTGCAGCCTGGAAGAGCTGCATGGATTCTTCAGAGGATATGCACCGCTGGCTTATTCTCTAAGGCATGACTCACACCCTCTAACTAAACTAGAGCAATTAATAATTTCCTTTGTTACTCAGGAGTATTTCTCAGAAAAAAAATTGGAGAATATTTCTCTTTTTCCTAATAGCTATTTAATCAAACTTAACAGTAACCTCTTTATCAGCAGCAAACACTTTGTTTAGTAAGGGAAAATGTCACCGTCATGCTGTCAGTGACAGGTGACATCACACTGTTCAGCAAATTGGCTACCCAAAATTGTTGAGCTGCTCTGTATAAACCCCTCAGTATACTGCAGAGCATCAACACCTGATGCTTTATGCAAGCAGAGCACCTCTAGACATAAGAGCCATTTGGCTTGCTGAGAGCTATGCTGGTTCCTAACTCTGAGAATGGATAGTTAATTTCATGCTAAAAAGTTTCTGATTTAAGAATACAGGAACTCAGCATGGCCTTAAATCTATGACTCACATTTCCCCAGAAGCCATAAACCACTAGCACACCACCACCAAAGCACATAGGTCAATATTTTCCAGAAAAGAGGACATCAACCAGTTATCAAGCCTCTTATCTTGACTCATAGACCCAGGATCCCAGTGGAAACCAAGTTTCAAAATCTGGTCCACTTCTGCTCATTATAACTACAGAGGCTGTTGTCTTTGCAAGCTCAACATTGCACACCTGGGTCTTTATCAGTCAGTTGATGCTCAGCCAGTGACAAATGCTGTGCATGTTGCACTGGAATGGCCTAGAAAATGACTTAACGTTACCTCCTCAGGATTATTGTAAGCTTCTGTGCACACAATCACAGAACCACGCAGGCTGGAAGGGATCTTGGGACACATCTAGTCCAACCTGCTACTCAAGCAAGGTCAAAGCTGAATACAGACCAGTTTGCTCAGGCTTTTGTCTCATTGGGTCTTGAAAAACTCGAGGGATGGAGATCACACAACCCCTCTGGACCACTGTTACAATCCTTAATTGCCTGCAGAGTGATAACTTTTTCTATGTATCTCATCTGAACATCTCTACTTCAACCTCTGGAGCAAAACTGGACACAGTGTTCCAGGTTCTCATGAATGGCACAGAACAGGCAATACCACCTTCCCTGATCTGCTATCTGGGCTCCTCCTGATACAGCCCAGCAGGCTGCTAGCCCACGAGGTGTGTGCAGAGCTTATGAGAACATATGGTACAGGCTGAGCTACAGGAGGTCCAGACCTTCGAAAACAGCTTTTGCCATTGCCCAGCATCATCCACCATCCACATTTCCTTTGAATTTGGAAGAGCAAGCCCAGAGTCTCCCACCAGATTACAATTACCTAAAAAACCCGGGTTTAAAATGTTACCAGTAGGACTACGATGGGAAGGAAAGGACGCGTCGAACAACTGTTTGATTTCTTATCCATGCTTAACTGTCGTGAATAACTTATTTCTGCTATGCATAATGCAAACACAAAGCCATGTTGTGTTTTTCCAGGAGACGTTTTGTTCAATTGAAGAAAGAGATAATAAAGTTAGATTTGTCAGCCGTTAAAAAGCCCTTCAAAACAAATCCTGCTCCAGGGACATCTTCTATTTAGTGAAGCGCTCCTAGAGCTGTTAAAAGTGAAGCCTTGTTTTGTGGTCTGCCAACGCTATTATTTGTCTTGCCTCTAAACCAGTGTTTGGCAATCTGTACCTTGCTTCAAGCAAATTGTTTTTAGTGGTGCTTTTAACTGCTTTATTGGACAATCTCATCATCATAACTTGATGGGAATTTCATTCCTCTTTGCTTCCTAGATACTCCCCTCCCTCAAAATGACACAATATTTCCCCTTTGCAGAAACCACAATTGTTTTCAGGAATATTCATTACAGGGAAAAAAGTTGAGCAACAGCAAAGACAAATTGTCTGCCCTGCAGTTACATATGCCTGATTCCTCAATTCTCTCTTTTTATTGAGATCGAGATAGCAATACCGTGTGTTTATGAGAAGGCAGAGTAAATGTGGTTTGGGGAATCTTTTTAAACAGTAAAAGAAAGATTTTTCTGTTAAAGCTGCTAACAGATAAGAAAAACAGCTATTATTCTCTCCTTCTTATTAAAAAAAAAAGACTAAAATTTCTGAAACTATTTAACTAACTTTCTTTATCTGTTATACATATTCTTTTTTTTTTTTTAGTAATTGCTTAAATGTTCCAGGGTATGAGAGAATGGCTTGGGTTGGAAGTGACCTTTAAAGGTCATCTAGTCCAACCCCCAAATCTTATAACAAATACAATATACAGATGAGATTTAGAGGATGAAGAGCGCTAGAAAGTAATGCATGGGTCACCCACAGACATCAATAAAATTTCTTGGTGCTCCTATGCATCTCACCAAACTTCTGCCCGTGGATTAAATTATATTGGCTGTGTTAAAAACTGGGTAGATTTGTGCAACATTTTTGTGTCAGGTAATTTAAAATGAACGTCCACTCGAAATCAAAGACACTATACAGCTGGCTGTTGCCATTTATAACATTAAAATCTTCTTGAGCTCCTTGCTGCTCACCACAGAAGCGGTCTCACGGTCTCCTCCCTGCCCAGCGGATGCTGAATGCTTTCCCTCCTGTCCAAACAAGAGGCACTTTCTGGCTCACACTTCCAAGCCACTCACATAAGCTCTTTCAATTTTTCTCCAACAGTTCTCGTACAAGGTATAGGGGCAGCTATGGCCAAGTCAGAAACTACAGTTGAGTGTACTCAGAGGTGTGGGGCCCTAGTGCCTTGGCTGCTGGCCAGCTGCTCCAAAGCTACTTCATAACCCAAAAAAATTCAAAAGTCCTGTTTAAAAAAAAAATTAAGAAGGAAACACTCAACAGAAGCATGTTGTCCTTCATCAAAGAAACAACCTTGGGTGGTCCACAAGTTGCCAGCTGGGTGGGTACATGAACTTTTGGTCAGATTTACTGGTGGTATTTTGTCTTCACATACAAATAAATCCTGTGGAAGAGTATCTTGGGCAAAAATATTTTTACTTCACTTACTTTACTTTCCATTTGCTTTTCAGTGGTATTTTTATTTTCATATCTATATAAGAAATATATTGTAACTTTTACTTTTCACTGAAAAGAAGAGTAGAGAAAGAGATCAAAGTGAAAGAGATCATATAGAGACTCTATATGAGAGTCAGTCTTAGAAATCTAAAAGAAAAAGGGGTAAGGATGAGGATTCACTTTCTGGCAGCTCCCATCTCCTATATACATAGGAATCTACTCAGCTGGTTTGCTTTATTTGATAAATGGAACAGATGTTAAGAGTTTATTATTTAAGCTAGGGGAATCTTCAATATCCAGTTGGGAGGTAGATGTTGTTTGCATCTCACTTCCAAGAAAAAAAAATATTAAATTGTCTAAACTATTATTGTATTGTTTTAATATCAGAGGGCAAAGTGGCATTATTCACTGAAAATAAAACACGAGAGCAATTTTTGAGAGTTAAAAGTGTTACCAACTCCCTTGTTTACCGCTTTGAATTGTGCAGAATCTAAACTATTCAGTTATTTAGCATCAGTCTGCATTATTTAAGAAAAATGTACATTCCTTCTGACTTACAAAGCACATAACTTCATAGTGACTAATGATAAAAATAAAAACATAGTAGAAGGAAACTCTTTACATCTTAGCCTGCAATGCATGCAAAACCTCCCAACTTCCATACCTGTAGCCTACAGCAGTAATGTGCTGCTGCTGACAATTCACCGATTTCAAAACAGGTCTCTGTGCCATTATACGCAAGTTGTAGAGATTCTTCATCTTCTCCCCACTCTAATCTGTATTCAGAGATGTCAGCACCAGAACATTCAGGACTCTGCAACACAAATATTTATGTGGTTCAATTCAGAAATGAGCACTTCAGATCTCTGTGGTTCACTGGGTAAGGAATAAAGTACATAGGGGGAAAAAAAGAAAAGACACCCTTATTTTTAAATTAATAAGCCATTATTGCTGCAAATGGAAATGTGCTGAATTAGTGTTCCCTAATAGGTTACTGAAACAGGGCAATCCTGCACAAAAAATTACCTGATAGAAATTCAGAGAAATGAGAAAGTGTACGCAGCTACTTCGTTTTTCATTAGGACACTCAGGAATAAATTGTCTCTCCACTGGCTTGGCAGAAGCACAGCCATGGAGAACACAAAAAAGCATCAATATCTAGCGCAGTCTGGTCGAGCAATCAAAACACAGCTCTGGAAGAGCCAGCCTTCAAGCCTGAAGTAGTTACTTCTGTTACTGAGAAAAGAACAACCTCAACAAGCAAGGAGCTCGTCTGAGGTTTTCAGTGAAGTCACCCATCAAGTTAATGGTCCCACTATGTGACATGGGAGCGTGGACCTGGGTATATTAACATCTGCAAAAAGACTCCTATGGGATCCACATGTCCTCAGCAATCCTTTATCATCCTGAAGTCTAGGGGGAGCATGGAATAAATACCTGAATTTGCTGGAGATGAGGCAGTGCAGGCATAACGGCACGGTTACCAAAGCAAAGTATTTGGTGTTTTTACCAGAACTATCTAGAGCTGTACTGAGTGGACTGAAGCGACTCAGGGAATCACAGCTCTACGTGCAGAAGTGTGGTCTAGAACATGACAAAACCTTTGTGCTTACAGCATGCCAGGTGGAATTGCCAGTAAAAGGATCAAGAGCACGGCTGCACGCCACAACGACCACCCTGCACATGGGCTTCTCTAGCTCTGTCTCTGAGCTTCCAGCTATTTTGGAAGAACCTTTCAGAACTGCTAAGCCAGCATTTTAAAACAATGCGTAAAAAAGGCAGAGTAGGCACCACAATGTGCTCTCTGGTCAGACAAAAAACACTCCAGAGTCCTCTGCTATTTTTCCTTCGTATCAGCCAAAAAAATGATGCGACTCTTTAAGAAAACCTAACCACTGCAAACCACATTACTCCTTCCACAGCTCCGCTTTTAGCTATAATAAACATAATATCCTGCACATAAATACAGAGCCTACCAGAAACACTGCTGCATTCACTCATGGTTGGGAGAGCAAACGCCTGTCCATACAGTCACTTCAAAGGGAACATTTAAAAGCTTAGTGCAACTTCTGGCTCAGCATCGCAAAACATTGCAAGAAATATTAACAAATACCACCAAACTGCACCAAAATCATCTGTTTTGTTATAAAATTAATCTCAGATAATGTTTGTATCTAGATATGTTGTTAGTAAAATCAATTTATTTGAGTATCTCATGAACGTTAATAACTTTTTTTCTCAACAGGGACATCCTTTTGTGGAGGGACCCAACAGATGCAGGGCTGGAACAGTCATGGTAGAATTACAGCCCCACCACTCCACATCACAACTTTATGGCAACATCCTTTCCTTTCTGCCTTAATTACATTATTTATTTATTTTTTTTTTTTTAAATTACACCAATCATCCCTTCAGCATTTCAGCTGAGACTTATTTTATAAGTCTAATGTCTAAGATCCTGGAGAATGAATAAGGAACACACAAACTAAAATAAAAGTAAATATTTGGGAAAGAGACAAACAATTTTTGAGGGAAAAAAACTACATCGTAAGCTTTTGTGCAAAGTTAATTTCATATCAGAGACTCCAGCTTCAGCTAAAATCAAATATTTGCCTCCACAATTCCACCCCAGGACACGCTGACATGCTAAAAGCCTGTAGGGAGCACTTCCACCCAACCAGTGCTCTCTCATCTGACGCCAGTGTAGGAGGTCTTGTGTCTGAATCCTGGTCTGGATGACTCACGATCAACTTTATGCAAGTCTTTAAAAAGAAAGTAAAGAAGATGTTTTTCTACAATAGAAGACTTTCTGCATACGATTTTCTTGCACAAAAGTTCCAAAGCAGCGCATAGCTCTCGAGCTAGCTTTATGTGGTGACCATATTAGTTTGGGTAAGCAAGATGGAAATCAAACTGTGAGGGCATGTGACTTACCTCCCAGCTTACAAGTACACGAGTGTCAGAGAGAAAGGAGAGAGAAGGTGCTCTGCACTGGCCGGGTGGTCCTGCTGCTGTCGTGACTTCGGTAGCTTCTGAATACGGCCCGTACTGGAGGGGAACAAGGTGTCTGTACATTAATATATAAGCATACACCCATCTAACACTCCTCAAAGGCTTTCCAAGAACAGCACACACAAACTTTTTCCAACGCAATAAACTTGCTCATAGAGAGATCGGGCTTCTGACACTCAGCACCAAACATCAGAGTTCAGTAGGAGACCATGGAAACTATTGCAAAGTTAAAATGTGAGGTGAGCTCAGGTATGAGTAGGCAGCACGTACATCCTCCTGTGAGTGCCTGTGAAGGTGTAAGCCACTTCTGATTCACCCAAGAGTGGGAACGTGCACCCAGCAAGAGTAACTGAGGAACAGCTTGTGTCTCTCCACCTTGCCTTCCAGTAACATGTTCATGAGTCTGTGCCACAGCCCAGCATAACTGGCTTCTCACGGATATAAGGAGAAGCACAGCAACAGTAAAGCACATACTGGTGTCCAAATCCAGCTTCTTTTACAACACATCTGCCACATGTTCATTATCAAAGGAGAGCTTGTGATGGAGCCCCAGCCAGGCTTCAATGTGCCGGGACACGCTGCACACTCGCCGTGCATGGCTTAGCTCCATGAGATAGCTCAGACAACTTTTGAGCTCTTGGTAGGAGAATAATTTAAAAGCATATTAGCAAAAAAAGGACAAATTTCAGGAGTTTGGAAAAATGGCTTCAGCCAACAGTGTGAGGACAGGAGAGAGATAACAGAAAGGAAACGGCCTTTCTGAACCCACTTGAGTGAAATAATGAAGTTTGTTCAGTACATCCCCAAGCTAATTAGAAACTGTTCTCCAGAACATAGGAACTTCACTGGAAGCAATTAGAGGAAAAAACACTAATATTTACTTATTTTGGAATGCAATACCAGCAAGTATGAAAAAAACCAAGCCAATACAAAGGCTGAACAATACTGAGATTATAAATCCCAGAAAACCTCTCAACAGATGTGTCAGTATCTGGGCTATCAAGAAAAGCTAACATTGATCGCTTTGTTTGAATTACAAAGAATGCACACACACAAAAAATCTCATTTATTGACTTCTGCTGTTTTCTTTACTAGATGGGAGGGAGACAGGTATTTACATCTGGTAAAGAACACCACCCCCAATTCTACATCTGGTAAAAAAACCCAACCCAACCAAAACTAGCCCCCTCATTTAGCAAAGGGTGGGATGAGAAATGCTTTGCAACTTTAAACAATGTTTTGTCAAAAACAAAGAAAAAAAAAAAGAAAAAAAGAAAAAATAAAGAGGGGGGAAAAAAAAAGGCAAGGCATCATATCCAAAGCTACCAGCTAGGCAATGGCTTTCATTCCAGCAAGCAAATTCAATCTCTTCATGTGTTTTCAATTGATTTTTCACAAAAATAAAACAGTGGATATTTTAAAGACAAAATAGTTTAATAGCCCTGCATATTTTTCTAATACCTAAGTTAAGTTTAACAGAACTTCTCCCTGTAAGTGATTAACTTTAAACCTGTATGTTATCTTTGTCATCAAGATTTCCTGAAAACAAACACAGCAATATGCATGTACTGTTGCTGGGACTGCCTTTATAAAAAAAAACCCTTGGAAAGATGCTCTCACAAAAGCAAACAGAACCAACCCAAACCTCACTGAATTATCCGGAATCTCTCAGTAGATCTCTGTGGACATCAGATAGAATTTCTGATGTACTTGGGAAGGCACATCTTCCAAGGATATCATATAGCAAATTAATCAAATCTATACAGCATTTTTCTTTTCAAAACCAAATTAAAAATTAATAATGCAAGCTTTCCTCAATATATATCCATCTGAGTGAAATTTCAGTGTTTTTACACAGTTAAGATTTAAAAAAAACCAGAAGGAATACAGTTGAAGGGGAATAAATAAGATACCTCCTTGTAAGCAGATATGACTTTAGCAGGGATTTGGCACATTTTGGTCCAGTTGATTTTGGCCAATCAAATCATATTAGTAACTGAAATCTCCTTTTAAAAGAAGAATACCAGATTCAAAACTGCAGCTCTTCCTCAAAAGTTCCTTTAAGCATTTCTCACTTTATTTTCTTGTGCCCATCTCCCTGTCACCTTTCTGATCACCAGCACTAAGTGCACTAACTAAGTCAGCACTAACACAATCACTTTCCAGAATTCCCCATTCAGGCACAGTATCACCTCCAGCAAGAAACAACCAAAGCAGGCTCCAGCACACCGCACGTACCCCGCCGTCGTTCAAAGCTCTCACTCTGAACCGATACGTTGCTCCAGGAAGGAGGTTGCTGACAGTGCACTCCAGATCAGGACCGTGATACACTTCAGAAACAACTTCTTCAGGTTCTGTCATTTCTACACTGTACTCCGAGATGGGACAGCCACTTTCTGACTGAGTGACATCTAGAAAAATATCATATAATTCATTAATAACATAAAGACATATGCCAGGAAGATTAATTTTTTACTTCACATACCACAGAAATATATACATGTCTGTGTGGGTATAGAGATATATACACACACATTACCAACAATGATTTTCCTCTTCAGTAGATGCCTTACCTGCAATAGCTCATCCATGTACATGATGAGCCCAAGGAAGTTGTGGATGCCCCCGCCCTGGAAGTGTTTAAAGGCCAGGCTGTATGAAGCTTTGAGCAACCTGATCTAGTGGAAGGTGTCCCTGCTGATGGCAGGGGGGTTGGAACTGGATGATCTTTAAGGTCCCTTCCAACCCAAACCATTCTATTATTCTATGATTGACATTTTTAAAGGAAATTAATAAAATTACTCTTAGCCCTAAACATTCACCAGGTCAGACTATCACATAGAAGAGCAGCAGCTCCCCCAGGGCAATGATCTGTCACTCTGAGAAGCTGTGTTTGATGCCAGGAGGTGCCCAATTACTTTTTAAGTAGAACATGGTGGCTACCATCCTCTTCTGAGGATGAAAAAAAGAACTACTCAGCATCTTCCCCCCAGTATCAAAGGTGGTGGTGTGTGCAAAATTGGTCAGTAAGGCAGAAAAAAAGGTATAGAATGCTGCAGGAAGAATGAGATTAGCGCTGAATACACCCTTCCTGGGACAGCTAGAAATGAGGAGGCATGTGGTGGCCGTCTGACCCAGTCTTGGCTGCTGGCTAGAGTTGGACACAGGCTGAAGTGGGTCATGTACACTCCAAAACTACTACTTATACATGGGAATTCTGGCAAAGCCTCATTAACTTCCAATAAAAATATGAACAACTGCCATCCTTGAACTTTACTAGTCACACTGCTAACATTTATGAGATTCTACATCTCTGTACAATGATCTAAACCGTGCATTTCACTTGCAATAACAGCTTTTTGCTAAACTGAATTTGTTTTCTGTGCCTGTATCTGTTTTGCTGTGGGCATGTTTTTCTCCATGAAAGCATGGTCCATGTCCATGGTCCAAGTCCTTTGCAAAATTACAGGTGTCCAGTGGACTGTGTGTGTTATACTGTGGATCAGGGTTTAAATGCCAGCCAAAATCCTCAATATGTTCTAGCTCAAATTTCTGAGACAAGTCCTATAAAGAGCAAAAATACTTCTGCTACGTCAATATTGCAAAGGAATAAAAAAGATGTGGAATCACATGGTGTTTTTGTAATAAAAGTATAGATATTCTAATATGGCTCATACTTTGTAGTCCTGACACAGAGACAGGTCCTAACTAAAACAAAAATGGGAGCACAGTTGGGCTAGCCAAGTGAAACTACCACACAATATCAGGCCTAAAGGCCAGCTGGAGCACAGGTAAGTTCAGAAACCCAACACAGAGCCACAGCAGTTGATGAAAAGTTGCACTTCTGACTTGTACAGACTTCACTGGGCTTTGCTTTACACTTCCTAGCGCACAGAGTACACTGCAACTTTTCACAAAGTCCAACAGAACTAAAAGCTAAAGCAAGATCAGCAACTAATCACCAAGATGAAAGTTACTCAGCAGTGAGGTGGTTGCAGGGCTTACCCCATTGCAGCTGTACTTCTTTGTGCTTCGGCTTCCCCAAAACTCTTGGTGGTCGGCAGTGACCTGGTGCAACACTTAGCGTACGGACAGGTAAACTTTCAGAACACTGCAAGAGAACAGGAGCTGAAGTTAACTCTCCGGTATGATTAACGCCTACAAAGTGAGGCACGAGTAGAAAGCAGCACAAGAAATTGTTTTCTCCAACCACTGAATAGAAACTTCTATAAACAATAAAGGATAGGAGATGCTATCACGCACGTTACTTACAAATGCAATTAACAGAGGTCTTTCATTAGCATGCTCAAAACTGCAGCACTGATGGCTAATGTTGTGGGGTTAATTTATTTTTTCTTGTTTTTTAAAAGAATATCAAGGCCTGAAGTACTCCATCATAAAAAAAAAAAAAAATTCAAAGCAGGAGGAATAAAAAGCATAGGCACTGAAATGATTTTAAATCAAAGAAGGGAATGACAGGAGTCAGTGGCTGGAAAATGGAACCCAAAAATTTAAACAAGATTTCAACCACATGAAAGGTAATTAATTGTTAAAACAAACTACCCCTACTGCATCTTCACTCACCAGCTTTGGTCAGTACAGGATCTGTACAGGAGAGTCTGGTCTTCTTTAAGAACGTGGCCAGATCAGATAAACAAGATGGTCTTTTCTAGTGTAAGTATGAACACCTACAGGTTGGTTTTGAGGAAACCAAATTTCACTAAATGGCAATTTGCCTAGAAAAAACTCCATCAGGGACACATAGAAGTCTTCTAAAATTCAGCAACTTGCAAAATAAGATTAACTGCAATCAGTGTAGTGCTACAGGAAAAATATTCACCTTCTTTTTAAAGCAGTAATCAAAAAGAGCAGATAAATCTCTGAAAAATATAAACCCGATAGTCTTTATCGTTAAATAAATACCTACCTGACTGTGTCCGCCAGTGCTGATACAGCACGCCCGGAGTTTATACAAAGTGCCTGGTTTCAAGTGAGTAAAGGTATATTCTGTAGCCGATCCACTGTATGCCACTTCCCACAGATTTGCTATAAAATGAGAAATATCTAAGTTTAGAGAAGTATAAAGTGTCTAGGAGGAAAGAAAATCCTTAATGAGGTCTTCCACAAATGATGTATTTCAGGAAAGTCATTAGTGTCGATATTACTATGAATGTTATTTCTGTTCCTGCTTAAAGATGTATATATAGACACAGTTACAAAAAAACCCAAACAACAAAACAAAAAAACCCCAAACCCCCACAACTTACAAATGTATTTCTAAAGTATATTAAAAATATCAAATCAAACACAGTAGCTTCAGCCCTATAACCTAAAATTCCATGAGTCTTAGAGAAAAAAGAACATACTTTAAAAAAAACAAACCAAAACAAAACCCACAGCAAAACTTCCCCAAAATCCAACCCAAACTCTCCCAGGATCCCTGCAAGTTTTTAAGGCTGGAAGTATGTAACTCAGTTTCAAGCATATCTGCAGCATTAGGACTTTAATGATAAGAACAACAATAGCCCAAAGAGTCAGTACTTCTTTATAGTAGCCATAATGGATTGAAATGGAGAAAACTTGTTTCAAGTTTACCTTCCAGACTTCCTTGAGAAATCTCTAATAGATACTTTAGGATTTCTGAACCACCATTATCCTGTGGAGGCTCTGAAAAAAAACAAGACAAGTTGTTAATAAATCAAAATTAGGAGTGAAATGGAACAGAAAGGTTACAGAGCTTGTTTCTGATTCTGCTCCTTCTCCTCCACAAACTCCCCCACATTAACTGCACAGAGGAATTGATAGCAGAAGTGGGTAGCAGACATTCATTTTCAGCGTGAGTCAGAGTAAGGTGGATGTATAATGGTGCTACAAACAAAATGTATGGAAAAAGGATTGAAAGATGCAAGCAAGGAGGCTTGCCCCATCGATAAAGGAAGCAGCTGGAATGATGCTACAATGGGACATGAAAAGGAAGGTGAAAAGCTTGGAGATACACCTGAGTGCAAGTGCAAGTTAGTCAATAAAAATAAACAAAATTTTTGATTCTGAAAACACAGGAGCCTCTACATGTCTTTTAAAATATTAAAAAAATTAAGTTGCCAAGCTCTCCAAACACATCCAACTTTGGACTGAGAAGCAGCATGAAAAATCTAAGTTCTAATACATATTTACATAGTTTTATTTGAATTTATACTGACTCAAAAAAGCTCTACTATGACAAATTGAACTGGCTTACCCCACTTCACATTGAAGCCATGAGATGTTATTGGCCCCTTAATAACGGGTCTGGTTGGAGGTCCTGGCCTGTCTGGGCTCGTTGTACAGACCAACACTTCGCTGGGAGAACTCTTTCCTTCCACATTAGAAGCAAACAGCTGAAACAAAACCACAAGTTTATCATTGTTTACTGTAACTGCTTTTTTGACATTTCTGCATTAAACTTCTTTTAGTCACTGCACAAACATCATTAAATTGGAAAGCGTGTCACATCTCAACAAAGCGTGTGGGATTCTAATAACAGATTTAGATTGTCACGTTGTTTCTTTACAAACTACACTGATTTTTCCCCTCCCTCCACTAGCAATAGATCATAACATGTTTAAAATGAAGAGCACTGCTCTTTTTCCCCTTAAGAAAAAGTCACGTGGCAACCTGCAGTTATCTACTCATAAAAGATGAAAATGCTGATGATAATAATACTATTTTTGTTTTTGGAGGTATTTCAAACTGCTATTTAAAACAAATTAATTCAGAGTATCAGTAATCACACAATTAAAAGCTTAAGCAGCATGACACTCAAACAAGAACAATCTACAGCCACTGAAATGAGCAGGATGCGCACGAAGAAAACTTTCTCAGCCAAGTCTTTCATCTCTACTCAAGAACACCTTTGTCTGACTTCAGGGAGAAGGTTGCTAAGCTAAGGGAAGACATAAGGACCTGGCCAGGAGACTGAGCAGATCAGGATTGTACAAGAAACCCCAAATGGTACAGAGTTTTGTGGCTGCTGAGAGCTGTATTAGCTCATGCTAGTCTCTGGGACAGAGATCTGCTGCCAAGGAAGTGAGTAATAAAATATGTATTAAAATCACTAATTGTAAATATAAGCTAGCAGGAACTTTTCCACTTGGGAAGCTCTGCTATTCTTGGGAGCAGTCACTACTATTCTCTCTCCTAACACAGGTGTCTGAGGAAAACAACTTGCAATTTTTAAGGCCAAAAAAAGTAATTGAGGTTCTCTAGCCCATATGCTTGCTTTAAACAAGTCACTAAAGACACCATCAGCTCCCGTGTATCACCTCTTGGTTCTTCTCTGACTATTCTACACTTTAACAGAATTGTTTTTTCTTGCCATGAACACCAGATACACCAGATAGACAAATATCCCAGTAACAGCTCTAGGGAATCAGTGTGAGCTACAAATGTAATGCAGCATTTATACATTTCCCCTATGCATCCAGCAAAAGATTGTACTAGCCCGGCAGGAACTGAAAATTCGTATTAAATTGATTGTTCAAGCAGGATCTTCAATACTTTTTCACAGCCAGAGCTTCCTCAACCTCGAGTCCCCCATTTTTTTTTGTAGGAACAAAAATAAAACTTTGTTTCCAGATAAAATTACGAAGTAGTATACACAGCACTGCTTTATGTGGAACCTCACTAGAAACAGCCATTGGTGACTCCCTTTTATGCTGACACATCGAACACTCCAGAGAATGAGATTTCTGCACCTTGTCGTGTTGTGTTTGGTAAGATTTGCCCTTCTGTGCCAAACTCTCACTTGGTACCAAACAAATGCCTTTACAACAGCATTACACTACCACAGTCGCTTTAATTAATCAACCTTTATTTCATCAAGAAATGTTAGCAGGATGTTTCCCTCTGTATGCACACATTATCTGGCATGAATTGAATTTCCCCCTTAATTCTATTATTAAGGGAGATCCCCAAAGAACCGTATTTTTCTCAGGTTCAAGACAAGCCTACAACTTGCCAGAGAGCCAAGCTCGCAACTTTTAAAACACTGCTGTGGTCCTAGGGTGTCTGTCTTTGGTTTTGTTTTTTTTGTTCTAGAGTTTTGGGGATCCTTCCCCAAATTCCATAGCTAATTAACGCTGGTCTGCATGCAACAAGGGAACATCTCAGTGCAAAAACCAGGACAGTCAGATCAGAGCTGTGCTTATAGAATCATAGAATGGTTTGGGTTGGAAGGGCCCTAAAAGATCATCCAGTTCCAACCCCCCTGCCAGCAGCAGGGACACCTTCCACTAGACCAGGTTGCTCAAAGCCTCATCCAACCTGGCCTTAAACACTTCCAGGGAGGAGCAGCCACAGCTTCTCTGGGCAACCTGGGCCAGCGTCTGACCACCCTTACAGTGAAGAACTTCTTCCTAATATCTCATCTAAACCTCCCTTCTTTCAGTTTAAACCCATTTCCCCTTGTTTTGTCATTAACTGAACTTAACTTATAGCCAGTGACAGTTTTGTAAAACTCCTGTTTAATTTGAAAGCAGGGTTACAGAGAAGCACTAACCGTCCTCTTCCCTCAGACAGCCACAGCAGCTTTTACAACACTGAAATAAAAAGCGTCATCTCTGAGCAGCACCACAACAACTTTCCTTCTGATTCTTTGCATAGTTCATGAAGAACTTCACAAGGTCTTCCATCCCACAAAGGAATATATGCAAAGTAGTTTTTAAGGATTTAAATGAGTTTTTGGGTAAAGTGGTTTTTTCATTGCTCTGGAATATACCAAGACCTACAGAAGCCAAATGTTTTTTGAATCAACAGAAATTTACAGCATCCTTCTCTCCCTGAGTTGTTGACAAATGACACGAAGATGCTTCCAGACACCATTTCTGTTTGGTAACATGGGAGCACGGTAGAAGTTGGCTTTACAGATGGCTTCTCCCCATCTACCCATCTCTAGAGGGACAGCAGTGCTCCAGACCATGCGGCCCAATGCCATCTTGTGGAACCACTATGGTGGACAGCCCGGCCACGGGGACAGAAGGATGGACAGCCTGACCATGGGGATGGACGGACAGACAGCCCGGCTGCAGCCCCTCTGGTAAAATCCACACAGTCTTCTCCTCAACAGCAGCACTCAGCACTGGTGTTGTGCTTGATGGATTCAGTGGCAGGAAGGCAGATGACTGAATTTTGTGTTTGCAAAAAATTTCAGAGCATCTGTCTTGGGGTTCTGTATTTAGGAGCACGCACAGAGTAGGAGATGCCAACAGTCGCTAAAAAAACAGCCCCAAAACCAGCCACGTGTACTTATGAGATGGAAAAGCTTCAGTTTCTCCATGTCAGGGGAAGACAGGCCCCCGAGCTGGGGAAGGAAGCTGTGCTTGCTGGGCTCCTTACAGCGTTTCCTCCAGTCTGTAGAAGTGAGATTAGTTTTGTGACCACAGATCAGGTTTTTGGGGAGCAATGCAGCCGACTACAACCACCTCAGGCCCTGGGCGACACATTTACAAAATCAGACCTGACAGTACATGTTACCAAAAACTATGGTTGTTGCAAAAAAGGCCAAGCAATAAGCATCTCCTGTGATAAAAGTAAAAAGACAACTAACAGTTTAATCTGTTAGGTCACAATATACAGTACATTTATATTTCATGACTCAATTCTGGACACAATACTAAAGGTTCCGTACAGTGCCTGGAAAAAACCCAACACAGAAAAAGATTTTACCCTGAATTTATACTGTGTGCTTCTTCTGAGATTCTTCACAGTACAGGCTTGCTCCTCTCCAGTGTACTTTGGGTGAAACACACTATCCTAGAAAAAAACAAAACCAAACACATTCCAGTAACTGAGGACTCTGAGGAAGTGCTCTCTGTGTTATAGTCTGTAGCTAGAACACATTAAAGCAAAGGGGCTTTATAGTCCAGTGCTTTTTATTATTATTACTTTTAAGCTGCAAGGCCACAATAATTTTCCTTCTAGAAGGATGCTGTAAGTGACTTGAATAATATATCTTTGTTGTAAAATAAGCACAAAAACAATCGTGACAGTTTAACAGGTTACTGAAATAGAAGTGACAGATGAGAGGATGCAAGAACATGACACAGCAGTGAGGAGGACACGGCAGACTGAGCTGCTAAAGGACAAGCTGCACTCTACCCTACAGACTCCTGCGAAGCTTATGAAAGTAATCATGGCTGACAGTACAGATTTTTAGATAAGGATTCATAATTCTGCTGTGGAGTAGAACAAATCACACAGCTCCGTCCTGTCAAGTACCCAGTACTCCTAAAAGACGCTCCAAAGCAGCAATCCACAATCTTCTCAGCAATCTTGAATCAATAAATGTAGACTCAATCTAAGTCATGCAGTGTACCTTACAGTAACAGGGTACTTACATTATCTTCTTCCTGAATTTCCAGGGTGTAGGAAATCACTTCCTCTGGTGTACATCCTTCTACTTTATTCCACTGCAATGCAATCCACGTGACACCAGCTCGAACAAGCCTTGGTGCAGAAGGGGTCTGAGGAATATTACCTGCAGTGTAGCATACCACCTCCTGGCTGTACCCACTGCACAGAGACAGAGAAGGAGAGAGAGAAACATTAAAACAACACAAAACTTAAAAAACCCCCAGAATTCTATGTATTTACAGAAATATTTCACACTTTGAAAAAAAAAATCTAGACAATGTTAAAATTGCCCAAGTGGAAAAGATGAGCACCCAGTTAGGAAATGCCAGAACTAAGAAGAAAAAAAAAAAAGCAGGATTATATGTTTCCTCACAGTCATTTTTACAGATCTCATCACAATAATACTGGAAAAAATAATATTTGATTGCCTAAAAATATTAACTTACTATTAACTGTGAAGGAGAGGAAAATCTCATTTAACAAAGGGGAACTAAAACATAGAAAGTAAAGCCCCAAATGTTCAACTTTTAGATGTTGAACTTGAGATGCAGTTTCCTCCTTTTATAAACTTAGAATACAACTTCTATTTAAGCTACGCCTCTGAAAGTGAAGTGCTTCAGCAAATCTAGTCCCACTGTTTCAGACATCCTCCTCCACAGAAAGCAAGGAAAATTTATCCAGCTGACCATACATGCTCAGCATCACGTAGGAGCTGTCTGGTGCAGGCACAGGTACCTTCCAACACTCCAAGCTGGCTCTACTCCTCTCCACCTTTCCCTGCCCAAGCTTTCTTGCATGTTAAGCTGAGCAGAAAGTTGGTCTTTTGCACAGCTCAGGCTGCAACCAGAGAGAACATTCCACCTATAACTAACATCTGAACAAGACAAAAATAATCTTAAATGGTAAATCTACAAGCTTTACAACTAACCAAAACCATCTTATGACACAAAGTGTTAGATGACATTATCATGGCATAATTTTGAGTGCCGTCTATAAAAATAAGCCATGTGCTGTGGTGCTTATCTCACACATTAACACAGAGCAGCTGACCATAAATATAGTTCTTAGTTCACTCCCTCCTCAATAGCCTGAGGAAAAAGAGAGGGAGAGAAAGAAGAACGAAAATAAAAAAAGGGGGGGAGGGTTGAAGCATGCCCTAAGATATTTTAAAAATCCAGAATCTGGCAAAGAAATGAGAAGCCAAAACTGGGAACTTTGCACAAAACTGGCAGTCTCCTTCCAGCTACACTCAGCAGCTCCAGCTCAAGCCTCTCCTCTCTCCCCAGATCAAGTATTATTTCAATAGGGAGGGAATTCATCTTGCAAGAAGTTGGCAAAAGGGACTCCGTGCACACATGAACAGTCCCAGCACATCTCAGAGGGAAAACACAGGAACATGAATAAAGAAACTTTTTAAAGCTATATATTACTAAGAGGTTTGTGCTTTGGAAGAGAGAACAATACAGGAATCTCCCTCAGCAAAGCAGATTGTTATATACAGCTAGTGTTTCTTTTTCTGTCTTTCTTGTAGTAATGATTAGATCCTGTTTAGCTAAGAAGGACAATAAAGGAGTATACAAGAGCACTGGATGTTTAGCTTCTTCACAGCTAAACTTTTCCTGGCCTATTTTCCTTCCGTGAGCACATGGACACACACACCCTGCAGCACGATGTTGCTTTGGGCACACTCTGGTCCTCAGCTAACATTTTAGCCCAGTGCTCCCCAGCAGCTCCCAGAGGACTGCAATAAGTCTGATTTCTCAGCATCTTCATTTGACCGCATCTGTTCATGCGCAAAGAAAAGAAAAACTTGAAACCCATCTTGCAGGGTTCTTGGGTGTGCCTGTCCTCTCTTGGTCCTGGCTCTCTCAGCCTTCTTTCCCACCCCATCAGCCAGCCCTGCCAGTCCTGGGGAAGAAGGAAGGGACTGTACTGCTGAAAACAGACAGAAGGGCTTTGCTTTAAACCAGAAAAATAAATGTATCAAGATTCCTTTCAAAATCTGTAACTCAACTTCCTCTTGCTTGTTTTTCTTGGTTCACAGAGGTCCCTAGTGGGAACTTTACATAACAGATGTATTCTTTTTATATTAGGAATGGGCCACAAAACACCATTTAACACCTCAAAAGGAGCCTATCTTCTTAGGCTAACCTCATCACGCTGAAGGTACACAGCAATTCCCTGGGAGGTGAATGACACCACCAGGGAAGGTGCGATTTACTCCAAAGCATTAATAATAGAGCAAGTGTCAGATATTTAACTCAAAACCATAAAGAAAAAAACCAACCAAACAATAATTCCCCCAGAAACTCCTCTTTACGCTGTCATTGATGATAGTTAAACTTTTTAACTACCAATTTTTCTCAAGAAAGCGTGTACCTTGGGCAACTTACCTAGTACCGATGTCATTTTGAGCTGCTAATCGGAAGGTGTAACCCAAAGCCGGACAAAGCTTCGTCAACTTGCAATGCTTCTGGCTTCCAAAGTAACATTCTCTGAAACCACTGTTCCTCTTTC